GAAAACGGTGTCCTTGCGCTGTAAGCTCTTTCATTTGAGGCCGGAGATTTTTGTCAATGTCTCATTTTTGCTGAGACGATGATGAAAACATTATATGACATAAATTGTTTACAATGGTATTGATGGACACATGAGTAGAATCTACGGGATGATATCTTGTTTTCATTTTATTTCAGTTACTTTTTTGTTATTTTCCCCCATTTTTTCTTTTTACCTTTCTGGTTTTTTTGTGTTAGAAGGGGGGGTCGACCCCCATATTCCTCCTGAACCGTGCCTGCCGTACCTTGGCAAAAAGAAAAAAAAAATGACCGAAAGGTAATCCTTGCCTAAGACCTATTGCAAACGCAATAAAACCAAACCTAATAGTTGCTTTATGAATGTTAATGACAATAAAGATTACATGATAGAAGTCACACAGACTTGAAAGCGAGTAAGCTATGCCAAGGCCATGGATGAAATACTCCTTGGGACACATTTTTGTAATCATCTGCAAATGCAATATAACATGAAGCCGGCACTGAAGCAAAACAAACAATACCTGAATTATGCATAATTTGTCGTACACATAATCTGTGCACAAAAATAAACACAAAAACCGGCAAGCGACACAATTAGGCAATAATTGACGAAGCAATGCGTTTGTAAAAACAAAAAGAACAAAGAAGAGGATAGGCATCATTCTTACTTTTTACACACAACAGTAGTGCAATGAAAATCATACAGTTACATCATCCATATTATTTACTGGACCTATATTCATCTCTGCTTATACTTTGGCATCATAATAAGACCGAGCTGTCGGTGATTGTGCGACTACGGTTCAAATCTCCTAATTACCATGTCTTTACATAATTTCACTTGAGTTCTGCTCATGAAAAGAGCCACGCCCAAAATCAACGCGTTGCACATAGTCATTGCCGAACGACTCCAACACTGAGTCGATCTTTCGACGCTCTACATGGGTAGTCGCTCCTGTTTCATACGTCGAACTGCTCATGACCTATTTTCAAATCTCGGGAATAGTACGGTTCGGCAAGAGTACGGTTGGGCAAGATTCTAATTCACCAGTAGCCCATGAACCCGGTGTCACTATTCCTCAGTATCGACAGAAAATCAGCCGTGATTCGCTGGCTGTTCTTGACAAAAATTCCATCTCTCTTCTACTGTTTCATCCAATATTTTCGAGGCTACGCAGTTCAGAAACAATCTCACCGAAAGGAAAAATAAGCAAGAAAAGAGATTATATAAGCACTGGTAGAAACTGATTTCATAAAAGGATCTTGCCAATAAATGGCATATCTAGTCTGTTTGATATAACACGTTTCATTATCGAATTATCGCCTATATGCCAGAAAACAATAGCACAAGTTCATTCTGTGATTTTTATACTACAAATCTTGATTTAAAATCGTGGCAAAGACAATTTGCCTGTGTAACTTAGTCAAGACGTCAGAAGGTGACATATTATTAAACACAATCTCCTTCGTTGACGACCAATGAAGTGTTTAAAATGGAAGTGGCCCTCAAGACCCACTACTTTCAGTAGGCATATTGTTGATTAACGCTTTCCTGAATTTCATTTTTTTATTGAGCGTCAGTTTTTGGCGGATACTGGTGCATTATAAGTGTTCTGTATTATTTTTATTATTAAGTGCACTATGGAAAGCATCGTCTCCTCCTTGATATACAGGCAGTCAATACTTCTATCCGTCAAAAGCGGCATTAAGGATTTTCCTGACTGAAATAATCAAGACTCTGCATAATACATGTATTTCTCAAGCCGTGAGCATACTAGGGACTGATGTGTATTAAGTGAAAGTAACTTGTTACTGAAACTCAAGAATTTTATGACCAAACCTGAAGCTAGTATTCATTTATATAATATGCATGTTAAAGGCAGAAAGCGTTTTCATCTTTCTTCTTGGCGTTCTCTGCCTAGGTTGTGTACTGTTTCCCTTCTCCGCTTATGAAGCGTTTGGAGAGCTTGTCGTTGGTCCCGAACAAGTAGTGCTTGGACATGTCGGTGCTGTAGCGTGAGGCTGGTACTTCGCGGCCCAGTGTCTCACACAGCGTGCGAGTGTAGTGACTATCGTTACCGCAGCAGATACCCACGACCTGAATGCCCAGCTCCATGCAACGCTTGCCAAACTCCTTGATGTCAGAGCGGCTGCACATTGCAGCATCCAGATCATTATGAAATAGCCGGACGCCTTGAATGATTAAAAAATAAAATAAATCAACCACAAACCTGGAAGTTATTTTCCGACACTGATCTCGGCACTTGAAATGGTTTTCTACTTCTACGATCGACAATGCTGAATAGCACTCAGGTTGGCTTCTAGCATCTTTTCATAAGAAAATAATCCCCTAGAATGACTCTTTGTGGCCTTCCCAATTTTTTCCAAATTCTTTTAGACCATGTTTCTGTTTCCAGATGGCGACTTCTTATTAGGTTCTGAGAAATGGGGTAGAAATTGAGAAATAATGCCTAATTTTCCCACTTAGAAAATATTGCGTTAGGAACGCCAGTTGGAATCCTGATTGACTGGGTATATCACACACATCTCCTCTACTGTTTCATTTTTTTCTGTCCTGGGGAGGTGTCTCCCTTCCTTCCCTCCTTGGGATACACTAACCGCCCATGGCAGGAACGGAAGTATGTTCAAGTTAAGAAATTCTAGAAATTGTGACTATGAAGCTTGAAGTTTGGTCACCAACCTTCATTTGAGATATATAATATTCCCGATTTCTCTCATTGCTGCAAATACATATGAAATAGCTGCATGGTCTCCTGAACTTCAAATTCCTTATAACGACAATTAAAATAAAAGGTCAGCGCTTGCATCATTTTATTCACCCTATTTAGGCATTTACGTGTGGAAAAGATGAGAATTTGTAATCATTTCATAATTACGGTAGTTGTTAATTTTAAAGATAAATAATGAACATTTCAAATTTACAAACATTTGTTGAAACCTCGCAGAAAAATAGGAGACACATTTCTCAAAAAACAAGATATTACTGTGACTTCCTAGATACATGTTTTATAAGAGGCCTACTTTATAATGTGAATATTTCTACGGAAATGTATCGTTAGTAGGAGCTTCAAAAATCGTTTACTTGTTTGATAGCTACACTTTCACTCTTGTGCATATTTTATTTTCAATCTGAGGTCTACAGCGTGACCCCCCCAAAAAATCAACACATAATTACTATTATTTTCTCCTAAAATACATGTCAAAACTTGCTGTTTTGCTATCGAATTGAAGCTTAGAATGTGATATTTCAAAATGAGAGACTTTATTTGAATACGACGTGAGATATTGTGTAAAATGATGAATTTACCGCAGCAATCAAAATGCTCTCCTTCCAAACACAATGTGGGATCAATGGAAAAGCCTGCAAAATTGGGAGACTGAACTGAATATGGTCCTGTTCTGTTAAAAGTTTCATTTCCACCGACAAACAAACACGACCCAGAAATAGGTCAAAGTATTTTGTGTCACAGAAGTAAACAAGATCAAACCCTTTTCACAAATTAGCTGAGGTAAATTGCCGACGTTCATTTAATGAAGATGCTTTCTCTCAAATAAAGTCATCAAGCTACGCCAAAGCTGCACAGTTGTTTTACAGCTGATATAAACATTAGTTTCATAAAATTCAGAGCTAGAAATGAATGTGAAAGAATTAAGAAACTCAAGGCAGTTGTGTGATAATTTAGGATTTGAATTTAGTGACTGCATGCCTCCACAAGATACACTATATAAAATTTCATTAAACAGAACGAAATGAGGTATTACTTAATCAAATGTTTGTCTCCGCAACCCACCATCAGATTTTAAAAAAAATTATGTTTCAAAAAGATAATGTCCTAAACTTTAATTTGATACAATTTTTTTCTGACAATTATTTTAGAAGGAAATGAGTGTTGTTTTTGGTTTGGTTTTTTTGTGAGTGAGGGGTGGGGCCTGCATGTACATCGACAAAACTTACCAGACAGCGGGTCGGTCAAAGATTGGAAGTTGGGTTCTGCTTTTGTGGTACGATATGGAACTGGAATGGCAGCCAATGGTGTCTGGAATGTTGAGCAGAATGGAAACCATTGAAAACTGTACTCTAATAAAAGCATTTTGCATTAATTGTTAATAAAAAATGATGTTCTTGATCCAAAAAAGACGAGCAAGTCTTCGACTGACTCGATGAGATAATATACCTTGATGCATTTCTGGATCTCTTCCATCAGCGGGAGCATGGTTGCTGGACCACGGGCGCAGTTCAGGCCAAGCACGTCAGCACCAGCCGCCTCCAGTCTCTTGAAAGTCTCGCAGATCTCTACTCCGTCAATCGTGGCCGGTCGACCGTTAACTTCGTTCTTATGCCACGCCAAGTTGACAATGACAGGTAGACCTGAATCAAAATAAC